CTATTTTAGTACAAATTAGAACTGTCCATAGTCATTCAGAACCATTTTAGAACTAACCAGAATCATTTGAAACAGTTCAGGGTAATTTTAAAACCATTAAGAACTATAGTACAACAAATTAAAACTATCCAGAATGATTTAGATCCATTTTAAAACTAACCAGAACCGTTTGAAACATTTCATAACGATTTTAGAACCATTTGGCAAACTATTGCAGAACAAATTAGAACTGTCCAGAATGATTTAGAATCGATTCAGAGTTATTTAAAACCGTCTAAGATAAACAAGAAAAGTGCAGAACCTTTTAGAATGTCTCCAGGACTATTTGTAATATTTTTAGTGACTTTTTTTCATCTGAAAGAATATCTGAATCTATACACTTTTATTAAACCAATTTTATTCAGTACCTGAAACCCCACTATAGTGTTCCACTTAACAACTGAATTTTTTTCGATAGACAATTCTTACGTATAGTGTCCTTTCGATTCGAATTTATAATTGAACTGGCCAATATCGATCTGTTATCGATATCTTCGATCACCGTTTCATATTCAGCGGACATCGATTTTAATAAAACTCGCATGCAGCGGATTCGGCGGCTTTCTTGTTTGCGCAATCGAGAAAGTCGACGATGATAAGGAAATTTACAAAGGCGCGCAGGACTCGAAACTCGAAATTAACGTTTCTATCACGTTGGATTATTTCGAAAACGCAGCGGGCTTTCTTAAAATAAAATTTGTCGATATGTATAAAAAGATTATTTGGGTCGAAACAGGGAAAGTCGTTGATCCGATTTTTTTTGAAATATTATTGAAAATATTCTTTATTCATGTTAATATTACAATTTCCAAAGGGTATTCTCTAATTGGTATTTTCTAATTGGAGGGATATTTCTTTGTAAAAATTAGGTTTAAGTTTATAAATTAGTACCTATGTACGTTTAATCAATAGTTTGGTTTTATATAAGGGTTGTATAATTTATTAAGGAATCATTTTTGCTACATACCTATACAAAAATCAAATAGATTCTACAATCTCTAATTGAATCAGCCCTTTCATTTTCTACACATAAAAACTCCCTGTGCATTCAAGAGTATTTATACATAAAATTACCCATTTTATTACACATGCAGTTTATATGGAAATAAACTTTCGAAACTACAAATCAAAACCTTTAAATTAAACTCATTTCTATAATCGCTCGTTGCAAAAAACATCGTGTAAACCGTGTATAGGAAGTAACGGTAACCACGTTAAAAAAAGCTACTTAAATCCGTTGATAAAATTAATTTTAAAGGCGATTCGGATAAGAATCCATTACGTATGCCGGTGTAACGGTAAATACGCTTTGTTTTGCAGGCGTATCAATAGCAAAAGTTCGCATATCGTTCGGGATTGTATAATTAGACAAGGAGGTAGTTAACCCAGGTAAAAGTGATTTATTTTTAGGAACTGACCTATATACGAGGTTCGGCGTCTGCTGAACCGGCCGAACGTCGCCCGCTCTACGTAATGTTGACGATTAAAATAGCGTTTCCTGTCATTTTTCGAATAGGATATTTATACACAGATTGTCCCATCTGATATAGAAACTAACGCGTTTCAATTTCCAACATCAAAAACAGCTCTAACGGTACACACGAAGCCATTTTTTGGGCCTAACAGTACGCAAAGTTTCCACAAAAATGATGAAATTTCAACGCCCCTTTTGTAATTAATGCAGCTGGCGGAGTGGCTCTCAAACAGCGGCTAATTGATCATACAAAGCACGCAAGTACCCGAGTTTTTTGCGCATCGATTGTAATTCAAGACGTTGCACGGTGAATACGGTCCGCAGGTACATGCGCCTACCTGAGGTCCTTAAAAAACGGCAGGAGTACAGAAGGTGCCCACACCTTCGCTTCGATCCGAAACCGGTTAATCTTTTATTTCGGCAAGAATCACGAACAGATTCCCACGAATCGCGGCCGATAATTATTGTTGTTCGGCACAAGGAAGTCCACGTAGAATTCGATACTATACAGATGCGTTTTTTAATGGAAAAAGAGCATATGGTACTTGCGAACGCCATTTCGTGACCTACCTAACTGTAAATCCCGAACATAAATGGTCCGCCACATACCTAAATAGGTATCCTATAGAAAATCTGTAATTAAATACTAAATATATAATGAATAAAAAAATTCTTAAGTACTTAAATAGATAGAGTATGTTCAGGATAATTATATAGTGACGTCACGCATTGAATTCATGAATAAACTATATGTTACATTTATTACAGCTATTATTACACATTCTATTCTGAAATTAGTAGGAAATATTTTACCGAAAATATTTTAAATAATCCCATCAATTCGTCCACTTTCAGCAGTAATAAAACTAAGGTTTGAAGCACCCGCTACCTGATTGTAAAATTAACAATGGGAATTTTGTGGCCACAAATGGTATAATGTACCGTTAAGGCGTAACAGCTCTTAATAAAAACCTTTCCTCTATCATCTATATAGCAGGGAATTCGGTTGAATGGACCACAAAGCAGGCGGGGTTGTAAATATTGATAATAAAAACTGTACCGTCTGTCGACTGGAAGTCTTGTAATAAAAATTTTGAGACCGAAATCTGTTATTAGTTGCATGCACAAATTCCGAAGAAGAAAAATCGTTTCGTAATTTTTTATACATATACCTATTTAGAGCGATCATTCAAATTCGTTCGCAATCTGCAATCTGCAATCTAAAACTTAAAATTCGTATATTATTAAAATTTTCTAATATTGAATAATCTCTATTTTTGTTTCAGGTAATAAATCAACCACCTTTTGCACGTCACACTCAGTGCGTAAGTAATTAGTTAGGTAAACGTTATATAAAACAGAACTACAGTCCATAATTAGTACTTTAAGGATGTACAGTTAAATATATTAAAGTTGTGTTGAAACTAATTTAATTAATGTTATTATACTTCTGGCTGCAATTAAAATCTTAACCGATTATTTTTTTAATAAAAGGTTTACTCACCCGTGATTATTAATTTATTGTTATAGGTAAATTGATACACTGGATTTTCTGTAGTATATTCTTTATAGGTATTCAGGGTGTTTCTTAATTTTTATGAGATATAACTTTAAATAGCGTTTATTTCTGTATATATAGTACAGGAAACATTAGGTTTAATTATCCTGCAAGGGATCACCACGTTTTGCACACTTCGCTGTGACACACCTTGTACAGGTAATAAAATATTTTTTTGTATACATACTCTTATCCAGCAATAAGTTACTCGGAGTAATTCTAAAAAAGAAATTAGAAACCGCCAGTATAGGCCTGTCGAACCTCTCCATAACGTACTTACCACAAATGTTAGTTGCTCCAGTACATACTTGGCAGCGGCCATCAACTACTTGTACTGTTACGTAACCGACGGCAACGTATATGGAATTAATTTAATAGTTTTAATTTATTTGATTAAAATGCGTCCCAATTCCGAGCCTGGTACTTAATATCCACCTATCGTTCGTTTCGCCAATAATACAAACGCGCTAACGATTATGGAAGAAAAATCGGCTGGTATACGATGATCTATCGCTCGGGTACTTCTAAATGGAAGTTCATTTATTTTTATTACTTAATGATCAGTTTTAAATGCAATAAGATTTTATGAATAATTCAGTGCATCTTGTGGCATAAGTCAAACTGTAGGATTTGCATTTAAAATTATTGTTAATAGGATCTATATTGGCCTATGTTTAACGTTCCTTTTTAACGCTAATCAACCGTTTAATGAACCTTTTTAACGTATACTTTGTCCATAGTTACTCCATAACAACAATGTACAATTGTCAAGTTAAAGAGACTCATTAACCGATTGATTAGCGTTAAAAAGAAGAGCTAAATACGGCCATTAACTAAAAAATAATTTATTTTATATGACTTTTGATTTTGCTTGATTTGAATCCTAATAATTTTCATGGGAAATTATTTTTCTTCGCTTTTGTAACAAACTCTAATCAAAAATTAATAAAACAGTCATCTCATGTTGTTTTTACCGAGCTAATAATAAAATATTTTAATACACGCCGACTCTATTTTCATCAGCTGCGTTAATAGAATTGGTCAATATTTTTTAATAATTCATTCTCGGAGTGATAGGTATTGATACCTGTAAATATCCAGTGACTTGTTGGCTTATCAAAGGAAAGTCGGTCTCGTAATTCTGCATGTACCTAACTTTATTAGCCAATAAAATCTGACTGGTTTATGAGAAGTTCGAATTCCTCGGAAGGCGACTTTCACAGGTACATCTTGTAGGAAGAATCTCTACGGTGTTTACCTTTATTGGTTTATTAAACATTAAAATTTTTTATTAACGCCTTCATAAAGTTCACCAATGCGGTTGACTCGAATTATTGACTATCCTTTAAAACATATAGCAAATTGAATATGGTGATATCTAAAGCCATTAAAGGAAATTTCTGTTATAAGATTAAATAAATTTAGATGTTTTATTTTGACGAATTTTGAAGAAATACTTAGAAATTTCTCTAAAAATGAATAATTTACAACCCTTATTAATTTTTTTTGTTAAATTTTTTGTTAATAAAAATTTAACAGTATAACATAACAGTAAAAATAGTAATTATCTAGCAATTTAATAACCAATTTAGCAACTATTTAAGTAACTTTTGTGCTTGTATAAAACACTAAATAATCATAAACCCATTAAAAAAAATCAACAAATAACAAATCGAAATAAAACGAACTATTAAATCGTATTAATTGCGGTACAATGAACGACATTGCACAACACCTAAATACAAAATCACACGGTGGATTATTAACACCCTCTCGCCGGCGAAAAGCTCTCAAAAAAAACCTAGTGAATAAAAAAATAGATAAAAGGCACCAGCCAGTACGCATGCGTAGTGGATATAATCCTTGCAAATGCAAAGCCCACTTTCTACTTCGTATTCGAGATTTCGTGCGGTTCAGTGTGTACAAGACTCCGGTGGAAAGTGGAGCCTCACTTAGAAATTTCGGATAACGGAATAGCGACAGTCGTCAGGCGAAAGGACTAACGAGCATTTTACCGCTTCGCTGTCGACGTCCTGCACGTGCGCCCGATATGAATCGAGGAGTAAATGACACGTGAGAGTGTGTGCGAGCAGGAAGTGTTTTGTGTTGTTACAGGATCTGTGATTATAAGGATTACCTAATTCGATTTATGTCGACGTTTTTGTTCTGTCAGGTGTGTAGAGCGATTTACCGGAAAAAATGAGGATCGTCTGTTTTTTTTTGTTGTCCTGCGATAACCGTCCGGAATTATTACCGAAAACGCGGTTCAATGATCTCGGATAATTTTTACGTGTACGATTGTTATCTGTAAATTGTTGTAAATTGTTGATCAATTACGAAAATAAATATTTAATACGTTTATAATATAATTAATCCTCGCAAAGGACCTACTACAGGATTGTAAAAATTATTATGCATTTTTTTTAATTTTTTTATTAGGTAAAAGATTAATCAAACTTAAATGAATTTTTTTTAAAATTTAGTTCACAATATTTCTAATAAATCTCACAATTATTATTAAATTTTTAATCAACAGATACTTAAAAAATAGAGTAAATAAATTTATAAATATAATGCAATACTAAATAAAAAAATTAAAATAAATTTGCTAAATCATCAAGCACTCGTTAAATTAAATTGGTCATCAAAAATTTTTAATTTGAATTTTTTTTAATTTCGATTTAGTTACTATTTTAAGAACCCTCGTAAATCTTGATGTAATGATTTTTTAATACACATTTCCCGAGTGTTAAAATCTTAAGTACCCACTAAAAAACCGTAAACTACAATTTTTTTTTCGAAAATCGCGCATTAACAAGCTAAATTAGTAAATAATAGATCATAAAATGCAAGTACGCACAGGTACTGATTTAAATGTGAACCTTCTGATACAAGAAATTAATAGAAAGGTCCGAGAAAGTCGATTACATAAAATCATTTGATATCTATGTTCGATATGTCATGTAAAATATAACTTTCAAATTGATTTTCAGAACTTGATCTCGTTAGATCAATGAGATAATTAACATCAGTGCACCTGTAAATTGATTAGGTATTTAGCAATTGCAGAATTATTAATCCGGTCCGAAGAATTCGAAATGTAGACCCGTTCCGTAAAATATGGTAATGTAATCGGTAATGCGCTCATAAAATAATTTTTCTAAATGATATTATTTTTATAAATCCACACTTACAATTAGATCGATATCGATGTGATCGATACAAAGCAAAATAAACCATTTTAATGTATGTATTCTATGTAATTACAATAAGCCATTTTGTTGTGATATTACAGTTGTAATAATAACAATATCAGGTGTACTGAATAGTACGACTATAAACAATTTACAACAGTTTTCATTTTTCTTATCTTAACGAGATTACGTGTAGTAAATTCCAGCAGTACTGCTCTAAGCTAAAAATAGAATTTCGAAATTATACAAATCAAATCAATAATTTCTTGTAATTTTTAGCAAAGCGATTTTCTTCCGGTTATTATAAATGTTATCAATATTAAACACCAAACAGACGATACTCATTTGCCAATATTTGAGTAAGATATTTATTGAAATAATTCGTTATTTGGTTTCCTTAAAAAATGTACACAAATCCACAGGTACAATAATAAACTTATCACGATATGAACCCGTGAGAATTGCTATTAATAATTAGCATATTGAAGTTTGCGCAATTATTATGAAATTGCACAATAAGCTAATCGTTTAATTATATTGTATTGTCTTCCCTTGAGACATTCCTCGTTGCTTCGAATGTCATATGCGTGAAAAAATCCGCATTTATTTGAGCGGAAAATTCGGGAAAATAAGCAGATGTCACTATTTAATTTTGGCGAATATTGAGCAATAAACTTGGAGGTTACGAGAAAAGAAAATGGATTAATTCTGGCCAAATTGGATTAATAAAATATCTACAGTGCGACAGGAATAACTAGAGAAATAGTGCCTTTCAATGCTCTTTATCAGATAAACTTGTTCGCAAAATATTTATTTCACGATCCACTCAAAATTTTTGTAGGTAAATAAATATCAAAGAAGTTAAAATTAACATTTTACTTCAAACTGCAGATCTAAACATCTGGAATTAATTTTAGAAGTTATGCAGGAGCCACATAACTATTATAGGTTCCGGGTCTATAAAACTCCTCTTATACAATACAGCTAATAAATATTCTCAAGATTTTTGTTGAATTAAATATCATTTGTGATTTAGGGGTTGGCCCGATAAATTAACATGTTACGGATAGAAAATACCAAACGGTCAATTAAATGGATAACAGTTCCTATAGGTGTAACGCGAAAATGAACGAGTTAGTAGAAAATTACATCACCATTACCATGCCGTACCAAATTCAATTAAGCGATTATTAATTGAGTAATTTCATATTATGGTCAATTAATATGATAAACTTGGGAAATCGATAGAGCTGTTTAAAGAGCGAAAAATAAATTGTAGATAAGTAGATAGAAAAAAACTTCACCTTGTCGATATTCAAATCCTCTTATCTTGCACCCTTTGAAGCTGTGATAATGTGGTACATTAATGATAGCACAAAGAATAGTACGCACATATAGAGGAGTAGATAATTAATTAGTTCTGCAGCGTAATAAAAGGATGTAAACAATAAGCCTAATCCCTAAACTAAAATATTTTTATCTCGATACAATGATAACACCAGTTTTGCTCTTTACGACCTATCTGTTTACATTACTGCACTCGTACGTTTCGTTACATAATTTACGTTTTGCCGGGTGCATGTCAATAAAAAAGCCAGCGGGAAAGCGTGCAGGGTGCCGTGCAAATGGAACGTTTTGCACCAAACACGCCCTCGCCCTCGCCCCAATGTCCCCATCCCCCGTCGAAGAAGCCGGCTCAGGTGAAGTATTTTAACTGCGAGTACGGTTGACACACATACGTTTTTATCGACGCCATATAAAATCAGCAGTTACCTTGGGAAGTTCATTAACCACAAGTTTACTATTTTTAGTTTTGCAACTCTGTCGGTTACAACATACAAAAGGGAAAGCGATCTTTTACAGTAGTTGTTTCGAATGAATGTTTTTTTTTATACCGACGAGTGACAACCTAAATGGAAATTTTTTTTTTGTGATACGTACAAGGTTGCTTGGAAAATTTTACCCACTATAGGTATTTTTATAAAGGCGCAGATTTTTTAATTTGTGACAGTGTGACAAAAAAGTACCCCAAAATATTATTCGGTACTATAAAAAAAATACCGAAAATTTTGGTAAATGTTACCACATTGATCTGTGTTTATTTTTAAAATTAGCTAATCCTAAACAGAGGTTAATAACCCAGCTGAAATTTGTGCCAAGAAAATATGAATGAACAATGTATTAGACGCAAATAAAATCAACTTGGCAAGTTGTTGGAATAACAACTATTTAAAATTTAACTATCTCTATATTGTAGCCGGTATGATTTATTCGAGGAGCAATTTGCTAGATATTTACTTTCTCTCCGTGTTTACGGAGACGAGATGAGCCGGTAGAAAATTTATTGTTCATTTCAGACTTCAAATGAAAAATATCGACTCGGTTTAATTTGAATTACAAGTTTTTTTGCCGATCATTTATCTCGCTTAGCGCCAATGAATCCGGACACCTGGTAGCTGCGTTAATTTTTCCAAGTTTAAAATACCCCGTAAACTTTTTAAAATGCCATCGCGCCTATTGTTAAATCGCTGCGAGTTCCATTCGCGAAGTGAAACTTCACTTCTCGTCCCGTCAAATGCGGCGGATAATTGAAATAGACCTCAGCAACTTGTGAAACATGCATTCAAAGTTGTAAAGGATGCACAAGCTGACTCCTGGCTGGTAATCAATACTTTCTGCACTTTAAAGGAGATGTTCCCTTTCGGCAGGCGCATTTTCTGGAACGTTGTGCAAGGTCTCGTTATTACGGTTTTTCTTAATATTTTCGCCTTGCATGAGGAATTTCCTTTGTGCAACTGGGTAATAAGGAAAATGAGTGTCGGAAAGTTGTAGAAACTTGCGAAGTTATCATTGAATTATTTAGGAAATAAAAAGTAATTTAAAGGAGGTATATTAGAGTAGGTCAGATTTAATTTCGCTAATTTGTTCGGAGAAAATTCACTTGTAAACAAACATTTCACAGCTTCGAAGCGTCCTGGCATTAAATCACAAAAGTGAAAAAAATTATATCAACTTTTAATTAAATACGAGTGGAACCAAATAACGTTGTATTTCAATTCGATGATTTCACTTACGATACACTGCTTGAATTCCTCAGGTTAGCTTAAACATGCAAATGGGGAAAAGGTATAAAAAGGTGTTCTTATGAAGATGTGCCGAACATACAAAAGAACCTCCAGAAGGAACAAGGACAGATTGGCTTTCAATCACATAGGTTTCGGTTGAAAGTCGCACAACGTCGACGGCAAACAAAACTGTTTCAAACTTCCTAGTGGGTGATAGTGTGCAATGCCATGGGTGCTGATAATAAGGACACATGTTTGTGTAGAACTTAAGTTTTAATGACAGTTAAAATGTTTGAAATGTGGAATAATGTTTCGACGAAGCTGGAAGTACAACAGCCGCAGTCACAACAACCACACACCTCTAGCGGCTCCATCAAAGGTAGGATGATGAATTATTTTTTTTATCATTTATATTCGCAATTACTTTATTATAAATGGATGTAACGGAAAATCGAATCGTTATATTTTAATTAGTAGAATCTTGTTTTTATTCGTATAAATCAAAACATCAGGTATTGCTTAATTTACATTATAAAAAAAAAACTCCCGATTATTTATCCTGTACCTGTTACAACTAACTGTCGCCGGTAAAATAATTGCATTTACATAAAATTAGCTCCGCTTGTCATCGCAATAGCCGCGTTCGAATATGTACATGCATTCCATCGATTAACGATTATTTATTAACAATTAATTGCATCTATATAACGTTTCTGTCGTTGCGCCGAATGTTCCTCGCGAAAACGGTATTCGAACACCTGATAAATTTTACTGTTGCGCCGATTAGCATATTGTACGCGGCACGTAGGTGAGTACACACATAATTCCGTCTAAAAGTAGCCCGCGACGAATGTTCCGTTGAACTCCCAACATTTGGGAATGGCAAGGAAAAATCGTCCGCCGGCCCCGGCCCGCTGGCGGCGGTTTTGTTATGACACGGCCGTTTTAAAAATATAAAATTAATAGTTACGTTCGGACGGAAGGCGATCCAGCGAGCCTTTGAAACGCAAGCTTAATTGATGGGCGAATTCTTTCGGGGACGCGTGAAAACTTATTTTGAAATGTTACGAATGTATTTTCAAAATATTTTAATCCGGTGGTTTATGTTCGACTAAGCCTTTTGCCAGGTTGAAAATAGAGTAGATGTGAGTTGGGACGTTTTGGAATTTTGGAACCCACCGCATTATATGCCCATCTTGGAGATTTTGACCAAAAACCTACACTTTTATTAGCTGAATCAATTTCAATTCTGATCAAGAGATTGTAAAATATTCATGTATAAAATCATTAACCAACTCATTGATTTCAACTAACTCGCAACTAGGAGTCATATGCTTCTCTTGTGTCTATCTCTAACAATAGTTAATACAATTTTATGTTGTTTACAACAATTCTTTGGAGTTTGCAAGAAAAGTACGGATATTTCTAGTAGCATCTTAGTGACCTAAATTCAACCCGATATTTTTAAATAAGTCTCATTAGTTCAACGTCATTTTATTGTTATAAATACGAAGATAACCTTCGGTGAATGCGAAACGTTTTCCCATCAACGACGCTTCTTGAACAATGTATTTTAAATATCGGTATATTCCATCCGTGATACAACTCTGAAAATATTTGCTGCGAAGTAAAATTTAGGTCAAAGAACTATACCACATTGAATAAATGATGTACGTTAAAAAATGTGGAACAGAAAATCTAATTGCTTTTTAATGAAAATCAAAGGAGTAGCCGTTAATGGGCTTAAAAAACCCACGATACCGATTTAAGTAGTTTGTGAATAATAAAAACTAGATAAACCCTTTTGTCACCTTTTCGTAATAGAAGAGCAAACATTTTCAATTGTTTTTTGTGATAATGTCGGTAAATATGATAATTTGGTGTATGTAATAGAAGCAAATACGTTCATTGTTTGTATATTTTTCTTTGGTAACTCTTATCATCTTTAAGTTTATTGAACTCGGGCCGTATATAGGTCAGTGAGATAACTTTAATGGCGAAAAAATAACCAGTCACTTTCTAGTTTTGAAAATTTAATATATTTTAATCTTCTCGATGATTTGTTTTTATTTTAACGCAGTTATCTAATTTTTGTGTTGTAATACGCTGATAAATGTGTATTTTAATGAATTGCCGAAGATTTGAATAAACCGGAACACTAATTTAGAAAATTCTATACGAGTACGTGTGTAGGTGCGGAAAATATTTGAATTTTAGAACAACTTTAATTGTTCCATGTTTGCAATATTTTGTAGGAAATAAAACCTTCCAACGCCAAAACCTACCAACGCCTTCTCTTATTGCTTAATTCGAAGTAAAATTATCTATCAAAAAAAAGTTTATGACGATTTATTGGTATATAATTTGGTAATTTTTCCATCATAAAAACGAAAATTTCAAAATATCCCAACTCTACCTACACAAACACCTATTATACTTCATTATTACTTCCACTAGTTATGAATTGAAGATAATATTTACACCACAACAGGCTCGGAAATTTGTTTATTTTTAACGTGAAAAATTTATACGACCTACCTGAAAAACCCACCAAATGCCACCAAATAATTCAATTAACAAATACGTATTCATTCCCTTTTTTTCATTTTAATAAACACAACTGCAGTAAAATTGGATTAGCAGCGAACGTTAAGAACGTTCAGTGTGGGTTAATGCCCTGGAAAAAACTAGGAAATGTGTTCGTATACACAATTTAATTGCTCGTTTTCCAGACTATTATTTACATATCTAATATTCTACACCTATTAAAGAAGCGAGCTTAAATTATTTTGAAAAATCCATTCGCAAAATGTTTATAATTAGGCTGATAAAGAATGAATATTGCCAAAATACTCATTGATATTACCAAAATATTCATTTAAATTTAGATTCTCTCAAAATGTTCCTCAACATCACCTCAGTAAAGTCGATTTTCTATGAGATTCAATGTAATTGCCACTAGGCGTTACCTGCATGATGTGAATTCTAATTTCATACGTATATCTAATAATTATATCAACAACAATTACTATCGAATATGTGTCTCATTTTCTAACGAGCCGGTGCTATTATATCGTGATTTCAATTCCGAGACACCTGAAATACACATTTGTTTAGTTCTCCGTAACACCTGATTAAAATTTCAATATATTCAGTTGAGCGCCAGCCTCTAGGTCGATTAAAAAATAGGTCAAATCACGCGACCGTTTGCTGTTCATTAATAGGCTCCGCAAGAAAACTACAATTGTTACAATACCTACGGTTTTTTTTTTCTAAATAGCAGAACGCTTTTTTTCCGAAGAATTTATTAATCGTCGAAGGATTTCTGTGATAAGTCATTGATTTTTGAAAGTTTCTTGCCGCTGTTTTAGTGGTAAACATTTTAGAGTTCACGAGAGTTCATTCTCAATGATTTTTGACGCAACCTGCCATTCGCAATAGAATACCTTATTTTGAACGTATAAGGTAATTCTTGTCGCTCGTTTATTCCGTTTTTGCCGCATGTACGACACAAACGCAACGTGTTTGTAATATTTCATTTAAATTCTGCTAAAGCAGCCGAAGATTATTATCCATTCCGAGGATTTTAATGTCCAAGAAAATTCGATGCACATATTTTTTACATGTTTAGATTCTCTTATTACCTATTAGACAAAATTTGGATTAACCAAGAATTGAAAAAATTGCCAATTAAACCTCCATTTTTATCTTGAATTAATTTACTGGAGAATTAAAGATTCCAATTTTTGTATTAATTCTCAACAATTTTTATTGTATTTTTTTAACAATTGCCAGGTACCTACTGGATACCATAATAATTAGTTGAATTTTATATTGTTCGAGATTTGAGAATAATCCCATTAGATTTTTCGTCTCTAATTAACCAATACACTAAGTACCCACCACCGGTAATCACCAGGAACAATCAGCTATAAAATTTATATACATTTTTTTAATTAAAGGCGTTAGGTAATGTGGTGTTTATTCGGCTTATATAACACACACATGTTATTATTTATTTAGCAGGAACATTTACGTGCCGGCTGAATTAATTTCAACTTTCACTTTTTTAACTTTTCGAATTCGCGATTATAAACCCACCTGAGGTTTATAATCGCTAATTACTCTACTAGACGGTGATCGCAAATTGACAACTTCTCGTTAGTGCCTAATCATTTCGACTGCATATACAAGCGCATTTTCCAGTTTCAATTCCAATCGAGCGATAATAACCCGTTGAATTATTTAATACAAGCCATATAATGTTGTAATTAATTACGTTGATAACGCGTATGAATCAAAATAAACAATAAATTAAAATCGTTTGAATGGAATTTTTTTGTCTATATACTGTAGTATGGACTATTGTATACGAAGGTTAAAAATAAATAAGTACATAATATTAAAATTTATGATTATGTTAAGTTCATTAGAGGATATAAAGCAGCACTTAATTATACGATGTATAGGTATAGTATGCTCACGCTAACATGGCAATGACGTCACGCTCTGAAATGTTTGTTTCTAACCAAATTTTCTTTGGGTACAATCCTTATAATTGCGTGTACAGTGTAGTTACCAATGAGTATACGTGACGTGATTGTCCGATTACCATGAACATTGTTTATGTGGTCACTATCAAAACATATTAGGTAAATGGGTTTTTTCATGGCCAACTACTTACTCAACGAAAGACTTGTTGAATTGAAAATGTGTATAAGTCATACACTTGAAAGAAAATTAAGGGCTTTAGCAATATTTTATCAAATAATATAGAGGGTGAGTTAATGAAGGGTTGATTCAGTTGAGCAATAATGTTTAGCAGGTGTGGTAAGGAACACCTGGTGTAAAGGATTTACAAAGAAGATGATGACTTTTAAAAATTATCTTATTGAAATTGTGCTAATTCAAAGAAGCTAGATTAAAAGAAAAATCATCTAAGGAGTTACCTTTTTTGACTAATTCCTACAAGGATTCGTGCAATACATCTAGAGCTGCAAACAGTGATGGTTTTAGAGGAATTTAGTGGTTTGTTGCATCAAATTGCACTTTTCAAAGAAACTAAATCTTCTACTGGGGAGTTAACCATCTTTGACCAATTCCTGCAAGAATTCATGCCGTATCTCTAGAGCTGCAGTTACTTATTAGATTTTAGATACACTTGTCGAGATATTTAAAAGAATATTAGTTAACGAATAAAAGGCACTATAATTGAAATAAAATTCGCAAAAAAGCTATAGGTTGAAAGAAAAATCTTCTAGGAGTCAAATCATCTTTGACAATTTCCAAAGATTCTTCGAGTACCTTTAGATCTGTAGTTTTTATTGAGGGTTGTAGGAACTTTTGGTGGAATATTCGAATTATATTAATTCTGATTGA